ATTATATTTGCAAATATCTATTATTTCTTTAACGTTTTCTTCAAATTTTCTAGGTATTCTTACATTCATAACAAATAAATCTTGTTAGCTTCTTTCTCTTAAAAAAAAAAAATTCTAAGGAGATGCTAAACCGATTACTGAACTTGATCGAGGTCGATAGTAGACTTTTTTAATTCCAAATTCGATAATAGTGGTGACATCTTTGATTTGGTTTTTACATTATATTATATAATATATATCATTCTGTCTTACTCAAACGCATACGTCTGTTCTTATCTAACATATGCTAGCACCATCTATCGATACTGCTACACGGAATTTCGGCTTTGTTGACAGTCTTCGCAAAGCACTTGTATACACGTATTTTCCATTCGGTGAGACGATACTTTTTTTCTAGACTTTCAATCTTAGTTCTGCAAACTCGGTATCGTTCGTTCCAATAATGTGACTTCAGCTGCACGCTTATTTTCAATTAGATATGGACTCTAAAACTCTTGTATCAAGCGAATATACATATATCTGAGGTAACAGCTGTACGAGCCAAAAGTAAGTGAATCTTTTAACTTTTTTTCGATTTTTTTATGAAATCCAGTACAGCTTCAGAGGTCCTGTTTGTGTGTACTTTAATTTATGTAATAATACTTTTGCAATCCGTAATTAAATTCAATTCGGAGATTTTTCATCGAATGGAAATGTAGGTAAAACAGGAGGCTTTAGCATCTTAACAGGAGGCTTTAGCAGCCTTAACAATCTTATAAGATTTATAAAAATATAATAATTACAATAACACGTAAAGTAGAGCATTATTTTCGTAAGAAATTATACGTTGTCTCGAAAATGTCGCAATGCACCAATGCAAGAAAGCGCGATCTTTGCAACAATGCTACAACTTAAAACTTGATGCAGTCCGGCGCGACGCCGCTATTAACACCCTCGGGGGTCAGATTTCGTTGGCCTCGTCGATCCCTCGTCGAGAGAGGACCGGGCCGGCAGTTAGAAAGTCAAGTTAGAGGGTGCGCGTCGGGCGGGTGGGTGGGTGGTACAGTGATGTCGGTGGTGGCTCTTATCCCATGTATAATAGATTGCTTACGGCCGGTGAGATTAATACAGTAATTAATAATATACGGTGACCAGGGTGGTGTAAGAAGCGGCCATTGTTGCTGGCCGGACAGCACAAAAAGCGCTTCGGCCGGTCCGGAGCCAAAGCTCGTATCCGAGCGTTACTCTCAGAGCGTTACGTCATGTTCAGACAGTTTTCCAGCGGTGGGAAACGCGAGGGGAGGAATCGTGACCCCGGTTGAATGCGAATTCGCGTCCACCCCCGCGTTACCGCTAATTACCGGCTCGTAGGAGCCAATAAGAGAACGTTGTAAGAAGCTATTTGTCCATTAACGAGTCAAGGAGATTAACGGAGCGTCTCGTTCGATGTATTATACTTTCTCTCGCGGCGAGAGAGACTTTGCTAACGAGAAGAATAAATGTTGATCGTCGCCGCGAATGAGGGTAGATTGAAAACGACGGACGTCCGTTCACGCAGCGGCGAACTAATTTCCCGTAACGGTAACGAAGGATAGGACGGAAGGACCCGCACGCCAAATGAATTCGAAGGTCCTCCCGTCGAATTCCTAATTACCCGCCGGCGCGGGGATATCCGTGCGATAGGATCGTTTGCTATCGGGTTTAATCGGAAATACGAGAAGCTTAAGCTAATGAGAGATTCGTAGGGTCGCGAATGCAAATCTCTTCCGACGTACTACAAACAGTAGCCTACCTATCGAGAATACTGGCCGCACTTTTCCAGTCGACCGAGAGAACGAACAATCTCTCGCGGAATCAAAGGTACGACTAATTACATTTCATTCATATAAACTCGGATTTTCATTATAAAAGTACTGTGCAGAAATACAGAAGGGTTCTCATGCAAGCGTTTCGAGAGACTAGCAAGTCAACAAAGGGATGATTTTATTGGCAAATAATACACAAAAGTCCAATGGTTTGTGTAAGACTAAAGGGCGATGCAGAGGACGTCTAGTGTATTTCCCTAAAGTGCCATCGAAGAGCAATCAAACCATAAACGAGTGTCGAAACGGAGTAGAAACTTATATGACGGAAGAAGTTTCGGGAGTTCCGACGAAGAGTCAGATGCCTTCGGATTTTATTTAGACCCGGTTAAACGGCCCGCGCTAAGAACTCTTGGGACTGTAAAACTTTTGGCAAACGAAAGATACGATTGTCAAATTATACCGCAATCACAACCCCGAGATGTAAGTATCTGATCGATATTATTGTAACTTTCATTGTTATTTTATATCAAATTTAACATCATCTTAAATATTATTATTAAAAGAATTGAAATTTAAAAAACAATTTTCCTTTCTCTTCTGTACTCAAATTTCTTATTCGCAAAACTCAGAGAGATAATACATATTTTTGTATTAAAATAATATTATATGTTATTTTAATAGGTATTATTTTAATACAAAAATATGTATTAGCTATCTGAGTTTTGCGAATAAGAAATTTGAGTACAGAGAGAAGGAAGATTGTTTTTTAAATTTCGATTCTTTTTATTTATAAAGCTTGCTAATTAACTCTTACCAGTTACAATTTGGTGTCTCCATACAAACGGGAGCACTAGAATCCGTCCGTTTTTTTCATCTATTCAGAATGATTTAAAAAATCTCTAAAAATTCACCAACATACTTTCAACTTTCTAGAATAAATATTGGAACTTTATTTTGGAAAATAATAAAATGTAGTATAATTTTTATAATTACCGAAAAACTCAAAGAAACTTGCACGAACAGGAATCGCTCGGTCACTAGTGACCCCCTCTTGTATGGTAAGAGTTAAAATTTTATTATATATATATAGTAGAAAAGAGAAAGTAACTTTGGCTAACGATAGTCAAAATAATATATTATTCAAGTAGCTAGAGAAAAAGATTATTCAATTAGATAAATTTAATTAAAATGTCTAAGCAAGTCTTTTTTTGGCATTGACAGGTCGAACAAAAAAGTGCCTACCTACTAATCAACGTGCTAATCACACTTCGGCCGATTGATGATAATCAATCAAGGAAAGCAATTACACTGGGATCACATACATTGAAATAAGTAGGCGAATCGGTAGGATGAGGTCATTTAGTGCGAACAGTTAGTGAGTGGATGGAGAAGAATCGTGAAACGCGAAATAGGGGCGCTAACATTCGGAGCTTAATCGAAATAAGATATTGATACTATACGGATCGCTATCAAGGGATTTAAATCCCTTCGGAATTTTCTTACAAGTAAATTATTTATGTATCCGTTTAATTATAATCGATTCCTAAAATTAAATAAAAGAAAAATTTTTGCAATAAAAATGTGTAAATACATTGATCTTAAATTACTCGGAGTCAAGAAAAACGCACGAGTCGCCCTAAACTCTTCGATCAAAATCGAAAGCGCGTTAAGCGAAAAGACATCGGGTTTGATATTATATTAAAAGGGCTGAACGACTTTCATTCATAACTCCCGAGTCACCCCGTGAATGAAAGATTGATGTTTTCCCCTAACCGTCGTGACTCGACGACGAGAACCGTTCACCCTTCTCAAAATATGTTTCGAATTCTTCGGAGTTTCCGGGAGAGAGAAAAGAACCTGTGTTCACCCCAGTAAGTAAATAATGACTTTGGTGTTTTGTCAACTGTATTATTAAATTAATTGAATTTAGCAACAACTAATAGTAAAGCTGATGTGCTTAATATAATAATGCTAAAAAGCTACAGTTGTATAATTATATAGCATGCTATTAAGTATAATTAAACACAATACATCCGTTACACAAAAATGACAAGTAGAATGCAACTTCTGATCTTTAGCTGAGTGTTCCTAATTTTTTTAATCAATTCGCCCATTAGCGAGCGCCAGTAATTGGCAGCTAAAATCAACGAATCTCTCAAACGTGACTCGGTGCAGGCGTCTTCAATGCACAACATCGACATTCGCGGTAGCGGAGGAAGATCGACGTGGTAATAATGAT